GTAGATGGTAGCTCCAAAATCCAAAACCAGGCAGCCTAACCCCCCAGCCTGTGCGTGTTACCTCTTTGCTGTACTGCTACAGTCTTGGTGTAAATGTTCTCCAAACAAATTCCTCCCTGAGGAGTTTTGCTGCTCTGAAATGCACTGCCTCAGTGAAAGACCCTAACTTATTCTAACCCAAGTTTGAAACTCGCCTTCTTTGGAGAGTCCTCAGCCCAGCTCGATACCCCTCAGCACTCTGCAGAAAGCTTGCGTCACATCCTTCACAGTGTTGAGTGCACAGAACAGTTTATCAGGATCAAAAATAAAGAGGGATGCCAAGGGGGTAGATTACACTGGACCTGACCTGGAGGTTATCTGTGTCTGGATTTGCTAGGAGAGGTTTTGTTTCCCAAATCAGGATACACGGCCTGGGACTTGGTTTAGAGAGTTGGATTTCAATGAAAAGGGGTAGGAACGAAGACAAGAGTGCCATTGGTCATTTACAGACCTTCATACCCTTGGGCACATCAATTTTCCTTCACTGTGCATTAAAGTTTCAATGTTAACACCTAGTCTTTCAGTAAAGGGTAAACAAAATCTATTTGTGAATGTGGTGTGAAAACTGATGAGGAATAATGCCTCATAAATCCATTGACTGATAGTACATTGCTTCCATTTTTACAAGACTGATTGGAAAGAAAAATATCTGACATAAAGACAGCATATATCCTGAGGGCTTTCCAGTGTTTGGAAGGAGACATGTGTAGAGATTCCTGTGTCTAGGCTCTCTTCAACAGCCTGGAGCATGTAAGAGCGGAGTGTACACACATGCGTAAGGAGGCACTGGGGTGAGAAGCTGGAGCAAAGTTTTCTGAAGTTGGTGAGATTCCACCTGGTAGAGAGACCAGGCTGTCTTACCTTTGCTGCACTGGGGATGGATGAATTTCCAGGTACCCAAGGCTTCGGGGCAGGAACTATCTCGTTCTCTCTCTTGAGTCCTCTCTTTCAGATAGACATGAAAACCATGCACATGCAGGGGTGAATCAGAGCGTGCCCTAAGACAAAGCTTTGGGCAGAGCAGCCCTTAGCCCTGAGGATAGCTGGCAGGGGCTCCAGGCAGAGAAGCTTCTGCTGAACAGCACTGGCCATTCGTGATAGATCTGTTCTGGTTTGGGTGGGCTGAGGCACCCTTGAATTTCCTCTTATTCTCACCAAAAGCCAGTGTGCTTTTGCTCACCTTCAGAGCTGCCAAACCGGCTCCTTCCTCTGCCTCCTCCCCCCCTGCACCCCGTATGTTGTTTTCTTGAGCAATGGGAAAACAAGCTGAAAGTCAGGGAAGGGAAATCAGCAAGGAAATAAACACAGAATCACTGTACCATGAGGCCATCCTTAGGCCTGGGACAATATCACACCAAGACTAGTTCCTAACAGCGCAAGAGCTGCCACCCAGCAGGCCTCAGAAACCTGGGCAGATTTTATTTTTGAATACACAAAGAAGCATGCACTAAAATCTGTTGCAGACAGAGCAAGCAATTATGAGCATATCTAACCCCCCGCCAGGACTTCTGAACATTTTCCATCGGCAGTGTTGTTAGTGACTGATCATTGCAGATGTTTCTCAACACGCGCGAGAGTGAACAATGAGGAAATATTCATCATCCCTGGCTATGATGCAAATTAAAACTAAACTGAGATACCATCTTATCCCCAAAAGAATGGCTATCATGAAAACACCTAAATATAACAGACATTGGTGAGGATGTGGGAAAAAAAGGAACCCTACTACATTGTAGGGGGAATGTAAAGGAGTACAACCATTATAGAAATTAGTGGAGATTCCTCAAAAAACTAACAACAGAAATTCCATTTGACCCAGGTTTTCTCCTTCTAGATGTCCTCCTGAAAGAGTTTTAGAGGGGCCAGGAAGATGGCTCAGTAGAATAAGTGCTTCCATGGCAAGTGCAAGGGCCTGAGTTCGATCCCCGGTTCTGGAAAAAAAAAAAGTGTTATGAATAACTACAACACACACAAAGTTCAAAAATTGCTTTTTGATAGTGAATCATCAATTTGAGTCTAATATAAAACTATAGTTTCTAGTACAATCTTTGGAGAAGGAAAAAAGGAGATGAAAAGGTTCAGGAATAATTTTGTCCCACATGTATTGAGCTAAAATCTACATGCAAGAGTATTCCCTCAAATTAACTTTAAGACATAGAACATCTCTGCATCTGTACATGTCCTTTCATGCTTTTCAATCAATAGCCTCCGCTGACCGCTAGTATCCAATACCATTCATCGGTTTTTCTCCTTTAATTTTGCCTTTAGTAGAATGAAACACAGAAAGGATTATAGCCTGGTAAATATTTATGTTTGGCTTTTTCTTTTAGCTGATTCATTCTAGATTTTCTTGTACCATTGTATATGTAAGTAGTTTGTTCCAATTATATGTACCCCATGGCATCGATATATTGTAGTTTGTTTATTCATTAGTCAATTATCCTTCAAATATTTCTCAATTCTATTTCATGATTACTTCTGCTATAAACATTTGTTTAAAAGTCTTTGTGAGAATAAAGCATTTTCTTTCTTTTGGGTAACTAAAAAAAAAGAGTTACAGATATATTAGAGGGGCACAGGCATACTTATGCTTCTAGCGGTACAATTGATAATAACTAGAACTCAGAAAGAGTACGTATGTAAACTGACAAATGAGTGGATAAAGAAAGAGTATTTATACACAGCACAGTGCTGCCCTGCCGCCAAGAGAGATGAATTTGAGGCTTTTTGTAGATGAATGGATGCAACGTGAGACCATACTGTTAAGTAAAATAAGTCAGGCACACAAGCTCAAATATCATATGAGAAACACAAATAAAGAACAAAATTACATTATTTAAAAAATATTTCAATATATATGCCCGTCAGTTTCATTTATACTATTACTTTATCTTAGTTGATAGGAAAGAAAGCTTTGTGCTATTATCTGTGTTTCTTTTTGTCAGAATCTTTTTAGTTTTTGTCTTACACTATGAGCTACTACCTTACCGGTATATACTATGGGGCTGGCGGGATAGCTCACCTGACTCAAGTGCCTGCTTAGGCAAGCTCAGGCAGGGACTGCAGTTCCATCCCTGGCAACACGTGCCACACCAGTCTCGCCTCCAAGTGGGCTAAGCCAACCAGTCTGGAAGTAATGGCACATTCTGGTAATCCCAGCACTGGGGAGGCTGAAAACAGGAGGATCACCATGAGTCTGAGCCATGTAGTGAGACCCTGCAACAACCAAATACATTTAAAAAATACATATGTGTATGTAGTAACTATTGTTATCTCTTATATTATTATGAAATTTATGGTATGTTTTCATAAGATAAAAAAGAATGAACATTTTTATGATTGACACTAAGATTTCTAATTTTAAATATCTAGAAGTATTTTCTCAATAAGCATTTTTCTGTTCACCATCATCATCAGCTGCAGTAGTAGCAGCAACATCTCTGCCAGGTCCTGAGCTCATTACCTGACTTGCAAAATCTCATTTAATTCTCCCCATAATCTGTGGCCACTCCCTTTATGTAATGCAGAAAAGGAGGGTTACAGAGCTTTCCCCATTCTGGCAAACTGACCCCAGCTAGTCAAAAACATAAACGCTGCTTTTCTGGAAGCATGCTGTTCTGAATCTTGCTTTTCCTCTGATTGGCTTAAGCATTTCTGCAGGAATAACCACCAAAGCTTTTTCTTAGATAAACTACTACCTGTGAGGGGGAAATTCCTCCACAGAAACATGGACCATTAATTAGTGATGTGGCCTCCGCTCAGCATTGTGAGCCGCCCTGTCTCCACAACCACGTCAAAGTAGGTCACGTACAAGCCGGGTCCTGTTCTCACCAAGATCCTCACCAGCACGCAAGGAAGGAGTCAGGCACAAGCCCCTTGGCTGCTCTATGTTTTGGCCATGGTCTGACTGCTCTTTTGACTTCAGGAACCTGGTTTTATTGTCCTCACTATGAGCTCAATTGTGAGCAAGTAGCTTTCCTGTGCTGTAGGCACTACCCAGGGCAGTTGGCTCAGGGTCAAAAATGAGGTTCTCTGGGCAGGAGACAGGTTATCTGTTTGCATAAATGTGTGAGCTGTGGCATTAGGACACTCGCTTATCCTTGGATTTGGTTTGGCGGAACTTTGGGGTACTTTCCCCTAAGGCTAAATAAGCTTTTTTCTTTAATTTTTTAAAAAATTATGTATTTGTTACAGGGTCTCACTATGCAGCTTGGACTCATAGTGATCCTCTTGTTTTCAGCCTCCCCAGTGCTGGGATTACAGACATGGGCCACACTGTCTGGACTCAGTGGCTGGGATCAAACCCTGGTCCCTGCACTTGCCTAAGCAGGTGCTTAGTCTGCTGAGCTATCTTGCGGGCCCTTGAATAAACTTTTTATATTGAAGTGGGTCAGCTTTTATTTCTTACCACATACATTATATCTGTATATCTCTATCTCTGCCTCTGCCTCTGTCTCTGTCTCTGTATTTGTGCCTATCTATATATCACCAGAGACTACTCAAGACTTACAAGTTAGAGCAACAAAAAGGAGGGTTGGCAAGAGGCTGGGCATTCAGTGTAGATGTCATTTCACAAATCCATGTGGTTTGTACATTTTTTTCTTTAATCTTGGGCATCTTGTTTCTCTTTCTGAGAGTGTAACTTGAAACGCTACAGAGTCGATAATCCTATATAAAGTGTATCTGGGATGCTGTACCGCTTTATATACCTTGACAATGCACTTCGCTGCCTCCTAGATAATTTATTGTGCAACACATTACTGTACAGTTGTAAAATACTTATGCACTGCAACATCTCTTTCAGTTATGTATTAATAAATAAATAACTAAGCTATCATTTGGCTTTCTTCCCCAGCTACATACAGTCTCCAGGTACACGCAGACTCTGATCTTGCTGTGCTTTGATGAGGACAGGCAATTTATAACCATCAAATGAGCCTCTTCAACCTTATCGGATGAAATGTAAAACCAGAATGTTGGAAAGGAGCCGACGTTATGGAGGCTTTCCAGTTTCTCATCTGTTTCCCAGCTTCTTACCGCTAGGGAACAATCCGAGCAGATTTGGGAAGCTTTGGAAGCTTTGGGGCTTTCCGTTCAGAAAGGTAAGAATTTCACTTCTCTTTCCTCTCCTGTGAATATTCTGATCGGTACAGGTTGTTTTCTACTAAGTCCATTCTGGAATTGACAACAGACATATTTTCAAACAGTGGGTGGTTTTGGTTTGGGATTTAATTTATTTTGGCATGGCCATGTCACCGAGACTGCTGTGAACTGGAAGCAGCACAAAGTCACGAATGAGGAACAGGACATGTTAGTTTCGCCTACAAATGTGTACTTTCCGAGGCAGAATTACTCCTATTGGAAGTCTACCCCTTGGAGGTCTGAGCCTCCCCAGAGTCAATGGCTTTGGTGTGTCACTTCCATGTGGAGTGGGAGTTTCCGGTGAGTGACAGGCTCTAAGCAGAAATGGCCAGATGTGGCTAAAATTATTAAGGAAATGAAAACGACTTCACCAAGAAGAAAAAATGCTCTTCTTCCAGGGTTTCAGAAAATACAGGCCAAATACAGCGCAGAGAAAGTGTCCTCATTTTTGCTCACCTACACTCTCAAATGCACCGAAAGTGAGGCGGTATGAACATGCAGAGGAGCTGTGCCAGTCCTCTGTGATAAAGAGCCTGAAACCTGAGCTAGGTTTCTCTTGGGCCTAGTCTCACTCTTGAGACGCTCAGAATGAAAATTGGATGCTTCTCATATGAGATAGAAAATACTTTCTTTGAACCAGTAAGGGCTAATTGCTCTCCTTTCTTTGCTATAATCACGCAACTTAGTTTACTCCTTCTACACCTATTACTGCGTGAACAACCTAAAGCCTACCTGCGCTTGCAGACATCAATTCTGTCCCCACACCCTCCATATTTATCTCTGGCTCAGGTCAGAGCTCTTGTCTAAGTTCCAACTGTGTTCCTAGTGTCTCACAACCACCTGGAACTTGACACACCCAAAGTCAACTCTCCATCTTTTCTTCCTGCCTACTTCCACTACTGCAGTGTCTGAACCTCCATTCCTTCTAACCTGAATTTCTGTAGTCACTTCTTGATGGTTTGTTTCCCTCTTCCCTTCCTGTCCCTAGTCCCTACACTAAATCCATGCACCACCTTCCAACTGACCTAGGCACTCATCCAGAGCCTGCTGGGAGCCTCACAGCCTGCAGCTTTCCACTGCACTCAGGATAAATTATAAGGTCCCTCCCTTGGCCCACAAGGCTTGGCATACTGCGGTCCTGCTCACTTCTCCAGCATTACCTCAGCTCCCTCCTCCTCGGTGCACTCTGCCACGACAGCTTGGATTCTTTCTGCTTTCCCCCCTCATAGGTCTTCCTGGTTCTGGCCTCCACCTCACTCATGTACCAACTCTCTCTTCCTGCTTTAACTCTTCCTCATCTTTTGTGTCTCTAGAGACACACTGCCTCCTCCTCCCACCCTTATTTTCCTGTGTAGTATTTACTGTGATTTGTATGCATATTATTTATTTGCCTCTTTGCTTAATGTTTAACTTATACTTTACCAACCCATACCCACTCCTCAATCCACAGCTAAGTTTTTTCCACAAAGGCAGGAAGAGGGCTTGTTTTGTTCACAACTATCTGCCCAGTACCTGGTATATAACAGGTCCTAATTTTTAATGTAGGAATAAGAAAACATATTTTTTCCTTTTAATTTGGGTCACATAAGGAACTTGAGTTCCTTAAATATTTGTTAAGAGACTTTCATATTCTTATTCAGATGTAGATGCAGATTCTCTTGTACAAATGAGGGAATTAGCCTTGACTGTGGTCTTAGACGACCTCCCATCTGAGGTCCCATCTTGCATTGTTTTCTGGAGAGCTGTTCCAGAGCTCAGGGAAGGGAGAGGGGAAGCTGTAGGGATGAGATGCTGTTCTAATTCATTTCTGGCTTTTCCTTGTAGCCTTTTGTTGTAATTAATTCTTTATGAACACAATAGGGCAGACTGAAAATTATACTGGCAAAAAGACTTGACGGCCAGCTTTGGGAAACCAAATGCCACTTAGCTTTCGAACATCATTTTATGGGAAAAATGTGTTTGAGATTCAAACAACCTACATGGCCTCCCCCATCACTAAGAGAAAAAAAAATCTAAAAATCCCTCAGTGCAGAATTTTCCTGTTTTATGCTCTACAGGAATCTATAAAAGCATGGTGACTCATCAGTAGCCACACCCTCCCCAGATGCCATGTTAATTTTGGGTACTGGTTAGCATGTGTTGGACAACATGGGAAACCCTTGCAAGACCAATTAATTCACACAAGGGTTGTATTTACTTGCATTGAGGCAGAGCCAGGAAACCCTTGTTTTCCTGTCCATGTTAGGAAGGAACTTCCTGTCCATGAAAGTACAATGTGGAACCACTCTTCTGCCTTTCTGCAGACTCCTAGCAGGAGTAAGAGACCAAGCCAATGGATGAGGGCAGGGGTTTTGGACCAACATGATTGTGACATTAGGAGTCACTGACCAACCTGATGAGGGAGGCAGAGGAGCATGTCCTTCTCAGTGTCCCCTTGCTTGGGGACTTGGTGCCTCACTGAAAAAGCTCAGGCTTCCTTCCCTCTTCCTCTCAAATCTGGTATCTTAGGATGGTGGCATGAAAGGGGTGGCTATTCAGCCTCTAATCTTCTTTTAAGCAGGCCATGCACTCACAGGGTTGCCAGCCAAGCACAGACAGGCTTCTTCACTCTTGCTTCAATTTTCTTTATTGTTATAAGTTGGTTGGTGAATTAGTCAAACTTTCATGGGCCCCATACGTCAGGGAGGAGACAATAAAATTCTGAGTCACTTTCAATCTAGTTCCTCAGGAAGCTAACTTAATATTTAAGATTCTTGAATTTATTTTCTTTTTTTGGAGTTCTGGGGATTGAACCTAGGCCCATCCAATTGAGCTGTATTTCCAGCCCTTTTAAATTTTGCTTTTGAGACAGGGTCTTGCTAACTCTCCAAATTGCCCAGGCCTAGACTCAATCTTGTAATCCTCCTGCTTCAGCCTCCCAGAGTGCTGGATTACAGAGTGTGCTACCGTGCCAGACTTGATTGGCTCTTTGTTTCTGTCCTCTACCAGAGCATACCCCCCTCCCCTCTTTCAACTTTCAGTCATTTGGGCTATACTTTATATTGTGCTGTTTTCATGAATAGCTTCTCTATACACATGTAAAACATGTTTGTGAAAATCTCACACTGGAATTAGAAAGTTTATAAGACAAATGTTTGTCTTGTCTGCAAAACCAATATTAAAACAAAGCCCTCCTGCAATCTAAATTTTTCAAGGAAATTTAGGCAAACCTGGTCAGAAATTTTACATTGAACAGTTTTACCACTAATTTGGGCCACTCAAATGCATACCAGTGTATCTTATCTCTGTAGCTAGGATTTCTGGTTTGTATTACTGTTGTCTTTCTAAACAGTTTTTCCCATCCTATCATGGAAGACAACCAGGCCTTAGAAGGAGGGAAGCAGCAGCTCAAAATCACAGTGAGTCTTGGAGGCGGACCTACGAAGCAGACACCCAACTTTCAGACCTTCACTCTTTTAGTCCCAAACAACTGGGGAGTGTGATATTCTTTCTGAACAATTTTCAGCAAACTTGGGCCCGTGGCTTCTGGCAGGATGGCCATTTTCATATTTCTATGCCTAAGATGCCCCACCTGATGCTCAGTTGGGAGTTTTGGCCAGAGATTGGACAAAAAGCAGTGCAAGGGCCTGAGTTCAATCCCCGGTTCTGAAAAAAAAAAAGCAGTGAGGATAAATGAAGTTGTTGCATTGAGAAATCCCAATTTTATTTGCAAATAGAATAGAAGAACAGTTAGATTTAAGCTTTCCTATTAAATTACAAATTCAAAAATTTAAGCAATCTATGCAGGATCTATAGGGGTAAAAAGTGTCACCTATATATCACATTTTTGTATATTATGTCTTTTAAAAAGTTAAAGATATTCACTTTTGAGGTGAAACTACCTCTTCCAGGGCTCTGTGCAATACCACGAGGCTAAATATTATGCCTCCTGGGTAGTCGCAGAGGAGAGAACCAAGCTGTTGTCCATTAGACCAAGGCTACAGCGTCCTGGAGGACCCATTTCCAGCCCTGAGGCCACTGTCAACACTTAGTAAATCAATAAAAATAGGAATAATAAACATCTCAGATGAAAAGAACAATGTCAAAAACACTGCAAACTTCTTACACTTCAGGAGAAAGTTTGTGGAGTTATCTCAGACTCTGAAAAAAACAAAAAACAAAAAACAACCCAGGATGCCATAATGGCAATCATCGCTATTTTCAGGGAATGAAAACTTTTAAACTCTTGATTTTTAAAAGGCCTGGCCAATTCCACTGATTAATTGATTGGGTCATGTTGATTTTCAAAACCACATTGCAATGAAATGGTGATCAGAAAACATATAGGAACATTTTGTTTTAAATGCGGAGTCCTCTAAACTGGTTCAGACAGCTGGGCCCCATTTTGTGTTTGTTTTTTCAAACAGATTCTTCGTGCACTAAACCAGATCCAGCTGTGAACTAATTGCATTTCAGAAACTAGGTGGGATGCTGTCTTGCTGGAAAGTCTTATTTGAAAGCAAAATGGATGCCCAGATTTCACTGTGGCTGCGTTATGGACTTGGCCTCAGGGTTCTGCTTCACCAAGAGGGTGTTCACCTTGGTAAACCACCTCGGCTGGGCTGCTGTCTGACTGCTGTCATGCAGTCACAGGCTGGACGGTGATGCCAGATGTCCTACAATAACTCTTAGATGGGTTGGAGCCCTCCCCACTGCCACTTGCTCATAGCCACTGTGCGTGCAAGTATTTTGAAATATCAAGATAATTTTTTGTTTAAAAATAACATTCTCAGTGAAAAATCTTAAATGAGTAATTTAAAAAAGGGCTCAAGAATACAGTATGTCTGCCTGCTCCTTAGTACCCAGTAAGCACGCACACTCACACACACACACTCTCTAGAACATGCCCACATTATATGCTTATTCCCTGTCTCTGAGGATTATCTGTATCTGTATCTATCATCTCTATTGTTCTACTTAT